CAGGGGAGATACTCCAGTGTGCATGTCTTGATTTGAGTCGAGCCAGGAGTCTGAGAGCCATCCTGAGACAGCCAGAGCCACTGGTGTGGCTCAGTCTGTGCCCAGGCACACTCAGCTCTGTGAGTCATGAGAGGGCCATGTGGAGAGTTCCAGCTTCAGTTCCCAAGTTGGGAATTGTGGTCCAGGAGCAGCTTTGAGTCCTTGTCGCTGGTAAAGGTGCATTTCTTCCGTGTCTGTGTAACCCAGCGCACGGAGCCGCTGGGGCCTTGGCTGGTGCAGCTGGAGGGAGAGTTGCCACACAAGGCTGGGACTCCACTGGGCTTAAAATAAGACTTTGCATCCTTTTCTTACCAGTAGAAAACAGCCCTCACAGCACCGTCAAACAGGGGTGAAGTGGCATTATTACTCCTGCCCAGCCGACTCTGACTGCTGTGCGGTCACAGCGAGCGAGGAAATCCTTCCAGAGCTGAGCTGGAGTTGTGTCTTTGGGTTCCTGCTCATGTTCCTCGCTGGAGCAGAACCCTCAGCCTGGTTCCAGCAGTGCTCCACACAGAGCCTCTCTGGATCCTCCCGGGGCACAGCTCTGCTCCGCGGAGTATTTTTATCCCTGACCCCGAGCTGGCTCAGCCCGGCGGCTGCTCCGGGGCTCCTGCCCTAATGAGAAAGCTGCTTAATTGTGGCACCCAGATGGAGGAGCCAGGAAGCTCCACCCGTGGCCGCTGAGCCCGAGCCAGGGGAGAGGCACTGGCTGTGATTTTCCACATGCCCTTCCGTCGCCCAGCCGCAGCTCGGTCAGTGGACATGGTTCTGATTTACACCTGCCTTTAGGAGTATGAAAGGGAATTCTTCAGCCTCCCGATGTTTGCCCAGACTGAAATTGGGATTTCTGTGTGCTGGCAGCCCAGCCGCAGCTCGGTCAGTGGACACGGTTCTGATTTACACCTGCCTTTAGGAATATGAAAGGGAATTCTTCAGCCTCCCAGTGTTTTCCCAGACTGAAATTGGGATTTCTCTGTGCTGGGACAGCTCAGCAGCTTTGGGAAGTTTGAATCCATCCTTTCTAACGGTGCCACTCAGGCTGCGTCGCGGGGCAGGTGGAGTGACCCTCACTGCAAGGGGCAGGGACAGGGAGAGGGACAGAGCTGCTCACCAGGGACAGGGAGAGGGACAGAGCTGCTCACACGGTGCTGGATAAGGCTGAGAGGCCTCCTAAATATTTGCAGCTCAGTTCATGTAATGTTTCCATCCTTACCAAGGCAGGAACAGCTGAGTTCTCACTAACACATCGCTGCCCGTGGGCTGAGCAGCAGCAGCTCCTGGGACAGTGTGGAGAAGGTGGATTTGGGGGGTCCTGGGTGCCCTGTGGGGTTCTGCCCCTCCCAGAGGGAGTGCTGAGCTCCTGTAGGTGTCCTGGCTCATCCCTCAGTGGGTGCAGCAGGTAAAGGGTGAGGAGGGAGCAGGAGCCTTTGCTCACCCAGGTAGCTGGTGCTGGGATACAGTAGAGAAAAGAAAGTTAATGTCTCTAGGAGATGTATTTTGGTCAATCCTCAGGCACCAAGAATCACATCCTTGAGCACTGCCACATCTTAAAATGTAAGAAATCTTTTTTTCTGGGCTCATTTTCCATGGTAATTGCAGTGAAAAGTGTCATTCAGGTGCCTGTCCTGGAGCTGCTGGTTCTGCTCGTGGTCCAGAGCACTGGGGAGGTTTGTCTTTCTGAGAAGGAGAGGGTCAAAAATTCTTTCCACTGGTCTCATGGTTGGTTACTGTGATGCTTAATTGAAGTAGAAAATGTGATCTGACGTGCAGCGTGGCCTGGCTGGCTGTGGGCCAGGCCCAGCCCTGAAACGGCTGACGTGAAAGTTCACAGGCCCAAATTTCCCCCCGGAATGTGCCTTTCAAATCTTTTTTTAGCAGCTTTATAAATCTCTCCGTGTCTGTTTTGCCTTAAAATGTGGTTGCTTCAGACAACAACAGTCCCAGAGCTTAAGTGAATGTTTCATGTGGCATTTCTGGGCCCATTTGTATCCTGAAGTTTCTAACATTTGCAGATTGGAGAAAATGTGTATGAGCAAATCACTGTGCCCAGCACAAAGCCCATTTGACAACAGGTTATTAAGTTGCCTCCAGTGGAAGGAAAAATGAATAGGAAATAGAGAAATACTCATTTCAGTCTTCTAAGGTTTGTGTTCAAGTGTTTCATTTATGGAGATGGCAAAGAGTTACATCAGAATTGAAGTATTTCTTTCTGCAAGGCTGTGTGTTTCACTGTTTGGCAAAGAGAGCAAATGAAATCCAGTCACATCCCACTGGAGCCAGTACCAGGGTTTGCTGGCGGCTGTGGCTGTGCTGGGAGTGTGGAGTGGGGTATAGTGGTGCCTGGAATCTGGCCTGCAGTGGGATGTAATGGGTGAGTCACATGCAGAGATGATTTTTGTTCAGTATCTCAGCGTGTTCTGCATCCTGGAGCTGTGAGCACATTCCCTCCTGCCTCTTCAGAGCCAGAGGCTGCTCCAGCACAGTGACCAACCTGCTCTGGGTATTTGTAGGTGGGATAGCCAAGGCAGAAATGTAAAAGAGCAGAAATGGAATCAGATGACCTCAGGTTGTAATGTGAAGATTTCTGTTTCAGGAGTTTCGTAGCTGAACCTTCCCTTCTTGACTAATAGCAACATGTAGTGACTCAATATTTCATGGACCAGGAGGGAAACTGTAGGAATGACCACATTTTTACCTTGCTAAGGTAGACCCTAGGTGCAAGGTGGGTTTGTTAATGCAGCTACCAAGAGGTGATTCCTGCCTCAACCAGAGATGATCCATGTAAATGTGATGGGGCTGTGGGTGGAGAGACAGTGGTCCAGGTTGTCCCAGCAGTTCCACAATCCCCTTGGCTGCAGCTCTGTCCTGAGTGCACTCAAGAGCTGCACACTCAGACAGTGCTGGTGGGTCAGGACCACAGGAATCCTGTGCTGGGACATGGCTCCAGGTTAGGAAAACCTGCTTGGCACCTCCTCTTCCCTCATTTCCATCTCTTCAGGAATCACAGGCCCATGCACACACCTCGTTTGCCATTTTTATTCCTAGCAGCATTTCCAGACCAGGAGTGGCTCCTGGCAACGTGAGGTTAAGCATCATTTCCCAGGTGTTTTGTGCTCAGAGCCCTCCTGGTCCTTGGTGTCAGATTCCCAGGGAGGGAGGGAGAGGGGCTGGGGCTGAGTTGGAGATGATCCTTCGAGCAGGATTCCCTGGAACACCTCCCTCAGCCCTGCTGCAGTGCCTGCTGTCCCGGGCGTGGACAGAATGTTCCGCGCAGGGATGGGATGGGGAGGAACGGGCTCCGTGCTGAGTCTTGCCACCTGTTGCCTCTCTCATTCCAGACCCCCTCCCTCCCCACACAGCTCACCAGCCCCAGTGGATCGGGCTGGGATCAGCAGCCACTTGCCAAATACCTTTCTGATGCTGTCACTAATTCTGCACAGGCAGCATCTCCCAGAGCAAACACAGCTCTCTTCCAGCACATTGTCCTTCCTTTTCTGCAGAAAGTGCCCCGGACTGACTTGTACTGGAATGCCTGTTCCTAGCTGGGCTGGAGGGCAGGACCTGTGCCATGGGCTCTGCAGGAGTCACCCCGGGGAAGCCTGAGGCTGTGCCCAAAGAATCCACTGCAAATCCCTTGGAGCTGGCATCTGGCTCTGGCACGGGCTCATTTTGTGCTGGGGGTTGCCCACGCACACACACCCCCCCCGTGTCATCCTGGTTCATCTGGTGTGTGTGGAAAGCTGCCCCAGCTCCAGTGCCAGGGAATGCTGTGCCCTCGGGGCTTGGCTGAGGTGGGCAGGGTGGGCTGATAGTCATCAGCTGGAGCTGCAGCTCCTCAGTCCTGCCCTGCTCCAAGGGTGATTTCCCCCAGTCAGGGTGTGCAGAGGAGATGGTGTGGTTGTAGCTCCAGAGCTCTTGGGTTGGGAGTCTGGGAAAGAGCAGCTGAACAGTTCCTCGGGTTCTCCTCAGGTTAGATCACAGCTCTCAGGGTTGAACCATCACCTGGAGCAGCAGCCCCTGAGCTCCTAATTGGAGGTGCCTCGAGGGGACTGATAATACTGTCAGAGCACAGGACTTTGGCAAACAAGATCCTTTCCATGTGGCCAAGGAGCTGTGGGTTTGGAGCATTCCAGGCTCCCAGGATGCTGCTGCCCATGTGTTCCAGACATACATGTGTCAATGCTTGTTTGTCCACAGAGATCACAGTGAGGTGTAAGGATGAAAAAATGAGTGCAAATACCCTGAGCCAGGTAATGGAGTGTGGGGAGGGAGAACGTGGAGCTGCAGAGGGACAGCAAAGGGAATAAAATGGCTGTGGGATGTTTCTCTTATTATTTCTGGTCCTGGTGCAGCTCAAGGTCCAGAACCTTCTCCCTGCCCTGCTGATGGACGTGTTTGTGCTGGCTGAGCCTCAGCCTGGTATCCCCAGAGCACCAGTTAAACCAGTAGTTACCAATTTTTTGCAAGCCACGCTGGGACTATAGGAATTTTATTCCTTCACAGTGTTGAAGGAAAGGGGTTTTGCTTGCCAAAGGGCTTTCTTATGCTTGAGGATGATTTATGGGCCAAGCTGAGCCACTTGTGGAAAAGGCAAAGCAGCTCTTGGCAGCACCCCCAGAATCCACTGCAGCTGTGGGTAGTGAAGTCATCGGCATAACAACCACTGCAAACAGAATAACAAAGTCTGTTCTGTTCTCCGTTAAAATAATCCTTCCAGTGCAGCAGCCACATTAAACCTTACCTTTCTGCAGACAGGACTCATCTGCAGCCCTGTGTGTCTCTCTCAGGTCACTGCCCATGTCCCCTGCTCCATCCTCAGTGTCATGTGGGGAAATGGAGCCACTTGTGTTCTCCCTCCTGTACTTGGCCTTCGGTTTGCAAAGGCAGAAAATCCAACGTTTCTCCCTTTTAAATGCAAAATTTGCTCTTGCCTTATAACCTGTTTCTAAGCTGATCGCGAAATGAGGAATTCTGACTTTGGTTTTTCCTACCTGTCTTTGTTTCAGGTCTCTTCAGATCCTCCTGCTTCCAAAAAGCCCAAAATAGATGACTCTGCTTCCCAATCTCCAGCGTCTGCCGAGAAGGAAAAACAGTCCAGTTGGTTACGGTCCTTGTCCAGTTCATCTAACAAGGTGATTGCTGAATGTTTTGTGATCAGAAGGAGCTCAGGGTGGCCCAGAGCATCACTCCACAGAAACCTGGGGAGAAAGTGAGAGAGAACTTAGGTTTTCTAAATCCGTAGCATTTCTGTCCTTGCCCTGGTCACATTGAGCTGTACAATTCCCAGTTTCCTTGCCATCCTCCAGTGCTCACTGACCTGGATTGTGACAGGGAAGTTAGCAATTCCCTCGTGCCTCAGGTACAGGAATCCTGCAAGGCTCAGGAGCCATTTGTGGTCCCTGCAGACTACACAGAACCAACCTGAGGTTTTACACGAGTGCAGTGAACTCCCGAGCGAGCGGGTCCTGGCCAGAGGGTGAGGAGAGAGCAGAGTGTGCATGGAAAGCATCAGCCTCACTCCCTGGTGGTTTGCAGTGTAGGAGGTTGTCCATAATCACTGATTTCCTCCCCCCCACAGAGCATTGGCTGTGTCCACCCGCGCCAGCGTCTCTCGGCGTTCCGGCCCTGGTCCCCCGCCGTGTCGGCCGGAGAGAAGGAGCTCTCCAGCCACCTGCCCGCCCTGATCCGGGACAGGTGAGCACACACCACGGGCTGGGGGACATTGCTCTCTGTCTGTCCCTCACACTGTGCCCTGCTGGCTTTGGCACACTCCAGCACCGTATCAGAAGGCACTTGGCTGTTGGTTGTTCTGCCTGTGGTTTGCACTCAGGTGCTGTGTCCAAATCAGAGACACAACAAGATGCTTTTCCACTCGAGTTTTCCTTAAAAAAGTGCTGGTTTGGGTTTACAAAGCACTTATGGATAGACAGAAGCACAACTGTGCAGTTGGGTAAAACTACAGTTTGCGAAGAGCAGGAGGAAACACCATGAGGACTTTAGGCTTGGGGAGATCTTTTTGTTGCTCTTAGGATATGTGGAACTTGGAGTTTGATGTTGATCAAGGGTATCCATCACCTCCAGGTTTGATGAGAGCAAAGCACAAATCCATGGGCAGGTTCTCAGCTGGTGTCAGTCAGTGGAATCCACTGTCACCAGCGTCGCACGTGGATCGGGAAGTGTTTTAAAGCCAAGAACATGACGATTTTCTCCTTCTTTTGCCTCTCCCTCTGAACCAGCTTTTACTCCTACAAGAGCTTTGAGAGTGCTGTGGCCCCCAACGTGGCCCTGGCTCCCCCAGCACAGCAGAAGATGGTGAGCAACCCTCCGTGTGCCACGGTGGTGTCGCGGAGCAGCGAGGCCCTGAGCACGGCGCAGCCGCGGAAACGGAAACACGCGGAGCACGCGGCGGTGCCCGAGGCAGCAGCCACTGCTGCAGCCACTGCCACTGCCCCCGAGGAGGACAAGGAGTCAGAGGCAGAGATCGAAGTAGAAACCAGGGAAGAATGTGAGTGACAGTTGTCTCTGCCTTCGGTTTGTCGGCGCTGCGGCTTCCGCGGGAGTTCGGGTTCGGTGGAGCTCGATGGAGCTCTGGGTGCTCAGTGCCTCAGCAGGACCTTTGTGCCATAAATTCCAGTCACCACTCAAACAATCTGCAAACCAGAGTTGCATTTGGTCATATTTCAACTATCCCAGTATAAAATGAGTTGGGTTTTCCTTTGTGTCGTTCGTGTCTCAATTACACAGCGAGCGTCTCTGTGCTAAAGGCCTCGGCACGTTGGGGTGACGTTAATTTTCACTGTTTGTCTCTTCCAGTCACCTCCTCCTTATCCTCGCTGTCCTCCCCATCCTTCACCTCCTCCAGCTCTGCCAAGGACATGAGCTCCCCGGGGATGCAGCCCCCAGCGCCCGTCAGCAGCTCCTACGAGGTGGCGGCACACCCCGACCCGCACAGCACTGGGCTGGAGGCTGAGCTGGAGCACCTCAGGCAGGCCCTGGACAGTGGCCTGGACACCAAAGAAGCCAAAGAAAAATTCCTGCACGAGGTGGTGAAGATGAGGGTGAAGCAGGAGGAGAAGCTGAACGCTGCCCTGCAAGCCAAGCGCAGTCTGCACCAGGTAACGCTGCGGCCAGGCGTGTCTGCTCCAGGTGGAACCATGAGGTAGCCTCGTGTGAAAAAGGAATTGCCTCATTTTTCCCAGCTAGCAACAGCCTTTGCTGGGGCTCTGTTTGTAAATTCAGCTGGGAAACCAAAGCACAAGGAACCATTCCTACATTTCTAAGCTTGCCACCTGTTTTTCCTTGGGTTATAAATCCATGGTTACCAAAATCAACATCTTTTCATTACTGAAAAAATCTTCTAGTCCAGCAGAGTTTATTTTGTTTTCATTTCACTGAACAGGAAACATTTCTGGAGGCTTTAGCTGGAGTTTTAAAGGCTTTGTGAAAACCCTGCCGAGTCCCAGCTGAGGGAGAGTGTTCTGGGACACAGCCACAGCTGGGGCTGGAGGAGAGCTGAGCCTTGGTCAGGACCTGCTGCTCTGCTGCACTCAGGGAAACAGCTCCTCAGCTCTGGAATCCAAGAGGGATCAGAGCTGCAGAGCAGGACTGGCCATTAGCTGAGCAGAGTGGTGGGTGCACTGGTTTGTGTTTGGGCTGGAGAGGAAGAGAAGATGGAGCCAAGGTGGAAGATTTCTGTGTCCTCTCTGTGTGTAGCTGTGCCTGAGCTGTTACCCTTGGGGTGGTGTGAGTAAGGGCCTGGTTTTGTGGAGTGTGGGAGCCCCAAACCCAGCACTGGTGCTGTTTGGCTTGTTCTTAGTTACCTTGAGCAAATCACTTCATTCCCTTGTGCTTCAGAAAATCTGTATTGGGTTTATTTGAAAGGAAACATTGACAAGTATTAGATATTTAAAGCTGATTTTTTAATATCTAAACTAACAGTGTGTGCCTGAAGCAGGAGGTACATGAAGCAGTTGAGTGCTGAGGTGTTAGATCAAGGGGGAGAAGGACTCTGGATCTGGGAGGAAATGCTCTTCTGGGGGAGAAAAGAGCTTTGGTGTCTAATTTAACCCTTAGGAGCCAGATCTGAGCCACAGCTCTGTGCTCAGTTGAACGTGGATTTCAGGAGTTGCCTCCTTTGTACCTCGAGGTTCCTTATCATTACCCCTTCAGTTAATGTCTCTCTCTTGGATTAGATTCCAAGGCAGCAGCTCCTGTTAAGACTGGACAGTGAGAGTGGCAATTCCCAGAGCAAAGAGTGGTTTCCATTTTGGTTGTAGCCTGAGTTTTCCAGCTGCTGGGACAGGGCAGTCCATGGCTGGTTGCCAGGAGACTCAGGGCTCACACCAAAGCTGCCCAGAGCTGGAAGGAATTTGTTTCCTCCTTGCCTTGTAAGTGGATTCTTTGGGGGTTTGGTAAAATGGAACTGCTGTTGGTTTCTCCAGCAAGTCCTGAATTTTTGTGGAGCTTTGGTGTACACAAAGGGCACTCAGACCTCACTCACCACGTTGTGCATCCTCAGTGTCTCCAGCCCAGGCAGTGCAGTTTGGAACGTGGAGCTGGTGCAGAGCACATTGCTGGGAGCTCTCTCCAACTGCACTTCATCTTTATTCAGGCCCAGATGGTCGCAGCTATTCTGCTTGACAAAGCAAAATGTGGCTGGAGCATAGAGCTTTTTGTTATCCAAGACTTGAGGGGAGTTGAGTGCAGGAACTCAAGTGGATTTAAAGGAGAAGAGCCTCGTGCAAAGTTCACTAAGGGTTGGGCATGGCCAACAGGGAGGTTGCAATGAGGTTTAGATCACATTCCTCCCTTTTTCACACCTCACCTCCCTCTCTACCACAGGAACTGGAATTCCTCAGAGTGGCCAAGAAGGAAAAACTGAGAGAAGCCACCGAGGCCAAACGCAACCTCCGGAAAGAAATCGAACGTCTGCGAGCGGAAAACGAGAAGAAGATGAAAGAGGCCAACGAGTCTCGGATCAGGCTGAAGAGAGAGCTGGAACAGGCACGACAGATCCGTGTGTGTGACAAGGGCTGTGAGGCAGGAAGGCTTCGTGCCAAGTACTCAGCACAGGTAAGGCTTTCACCTTCCTCCTCAAGCTGCTCTTGAGGGGCAGAGCTGAGCTTGAATTTAATTCCTGCTCAGCTGAGCTGCACCCACACACAGTTGTCCTATCTCTGTGAGCAACACACCTGAGCTGCTGTCTGAGCCTTCCTTGAAGGAAAAATTCTTTAGGGTCAGCTCTGCTAACGGGAAGGGGAGTGGCTGCTTGCCCCGATGAGACACGTTTGCCCAGGAGCAGGAAATGATGTTGGGCTTCCTCTCCAGCATCACAGGATGTCTCGCTGATAAAGGGTGTCCCACAGTTGTCCTATCTCTGTGAGCAACACACCTGAGCTGCTGTCTGAGCCTTCCTTGAAGGAAAAATTCTTTAGGGTCAGCTCTGCTAACGGGAAGGGGAGTGGCTGCTTGCCCCGATGAGACACGTTTGCCCAGGAGCAGGAAATGATGTTGGGCTTCCTCTCCAGCATCACAGGATGTCTCGCTGATAAAGGGTGTCCAGACTAAACAGAGACACACCCTGAACTCCCCAAGCAGCAGGAGGATAGATAAGGGCATAGGGTTGGGCTGAGCTGCAGGTGTGTCCACCTGGACAATGAAGGTTTTCCTCCTTGGTAGGGAAAAAGTGAGGATTCCTAAGATGAAAGGCTAAAATCACCCCCAAAAAAGAACTCAAGTCCCCAAATATTCTGCAGGTCAGAAGGTTGGCAGGTCAGCACAGAGTCTGGGGTTGGGCTGAGGCTGTCACAGCCTGAGCTGTGCTGGGCAAAGGGCACGTGGCAGCTCCTGGCTCAGCTGCTTAACACCAAAGTACTGGCAGTAACTCACTTCCAGGTCTGACTTAAGAACTTAAGTCACAGAAGAAATTTTAAAATATTTCTAGCCCAAGCTTTTCTCTCCAGCTTGGGGTGCAACAGGAAGTTTATCACTTAGAGTGTGTTGATCACTAATTATTTTTGAGGAAACCACAATTCTAGGCTGAGAGCAGCAGCATTAGGCAAGGACACAGCACACTCAGGGTGGAAGAGTCTTTGTGCAAGCTTAAAGTATTACATGCTTAATCCCATTGAGTACCTGTGGTTTATGCCTTTCTTTTTGCTTACCTTGATCCTGAGATCCAAACATGGATGGGGGTGGGTTACTCTTTATTTTCTCCCCAGGCATAGGAGGGATGGTGTCACTTTCCTTTGTCAAGTGGCAATATTTGCTCACTGCTCATCTTAGCTTTTTTTGGGGTCTAAAATTGCATATTCCAAGCAGTGCTGTTTCCCCCTGCAATCCTGGGACTTTGCTCTGCTGTCAGTAGGTAACAAACAGGAAGATTGGGGAGGCCAAGAGCAGCTCCTACACTAGAGATAGGACAACTGTGTGTGG